CCCGTTCGGGGCCGACGGCCGAACCCCCCCGTCCCCGTCGGGGCGGGGGGGGGAGGGTGCCTCGGCTCTTACGCCACCCCCCCTCCCCCGCCTCGACCGGCCCCCAACCGGCCGTTCCTCGGAGTGAGGCAGTGGTCGGGTCCCGCCCCCCTCCGACCCCTCCCGGAGAGGGAGGTGCCCGGCCCGCGGGCGCGAAGCTCGCCTCTGCCTCCGGACTGAGCGCTGCCGGGAAGCCCAGCTCGGCTAGTTGGGTTTCGGCTCGTGTCGGAAGATCACGCCCGGAACCTGATTCATGGGCGCTCGGCCCAGCCCCGCGAGCGAGCACCGCTTCTCTTTGGATCGGAGATGTTTGTAAGGAAACGCGTTCCCTCCCCGGCTGTGGTCTGGTTAGAGAATCAGGAATTTGTGCAAAGCCACCAATGCCCTCACTCATTTGCCTTCCTCAGGCACCCGCCTCCTCCTCTGGCCAAAGTTTGCCAGCCTCCTAGGTACTGATTAGGCTGAGCAAAGGGGAAGATACTAGATTTCTAAGGCGCAAATTAAGTTTTCTCAAATTGATAACCCAATTGGAACTCTTGCTCTCCTCTTTAAAACCTGGTGAGGTGCTGTGTGGCTCATATCTGGCCAACTTGAGGAGGCCCTGGACAGTGGGCGTTTATCCAACACTGGTCTCCGACCAGCCGCCTGGCCACACACTGGGGGTACCCTCTAAACAGTCAAATCTGGACATACTTATGAGACCCAAGAATTGGTCCTTTCCCCCCTTCTCTCCTTTTTATTATTCACAAGACTGAGATTGTTTTAATGTCATAACTTATAAGAAAATAAGCTACATTGAAATAAATTAAACACAAGGGAGACGTGCTTCAGACGTGGCTCAGATAGGCTATGCAACCCCAGGAAAGAAAGCCAGGCAAAACCAAAGCAAAGCGAATTTCCAGGCTGCCCCCAAAACGTCTGCTTTCAGTCAACTGAAAAAGCCAGAATAGAAACAAAAATAAGTGTAGACCCCAGTGTTTGTTCTTGCATGTCATGTTTACCTTTGGAAAAGTATGGAAAGGTGGCTGCTATGCGTGGCAGGTAACAGCAGAGGTTTTACTTTCTTCTGGGATGTGGGCGGAGGATAGAACTGGGTAGTTTGGCCCTATAACTTTCAAAATACTGCAACTGAGATAGTCTATATAGATATCTATGTACAAAGTAGGACAGTATAATAAATATTTAGTGTGTCTTCAGGTGTAGCTGTAGCCCCTTCAAAAGCAGTCTTTTAAGCCTGTTTAATGAATATATTCTCAATTTGCTTGGGATGTCCAAAGTTGGGGGGTGACTTGGAGTTTTGCTTCCAACATGGTGGGGTCCACCACGGGCTCCCTCCAGCGCTGTGGCTTCTCCATGGTGGTCCAGGCCCTGGCCCTCCCTGGGCCCTCAGGGTCGGGCCTGCTCCAGCTGCTGGTGCTGACTTCTGATGGCGAACCTGCTGACGTGCACGGGGATGGGGACCACGATCTTGGGGTTTCTGGACGGCTCCCCTGTCTTGGAGTTGGCATTGCCGGCTTTGACCCTTTTCCACTTGGCCCGGCGGTTCTGGAACCAGATTTTCACCTGCACCTCGCTGAGTTTGAGGGCGTGGGCGATCTGCGAGCGCTCGGTCAGCGAGAGGTACTTTTTGCAGTGGAACTCCTTCTCGAGCTCCAGCAGCTGCTCGCTGGTGAAGGCAGTCCGCCGCCGCCGGTTCTTGCCCGTGGACGTGGTGCTGCCCGCGGCGCCGCCGCTCGGCGGGGTCTCCTCCAGTGCGTGGCCGGGGTCTTCCTCCTTGTGAGCCGCCTGGCCAGTCAGATTGTCATCCGAGCTGTAGTCCAGATCGCTCTCCAGCGAGAAGCTCTCCTCCTTGCCCTTCGGGTCGTCTTCCACCTTTGACTCGTCTTTCCCTTGTCCTCTGACAGCCCCGACTGAAAGCAAAACCAAACGGCGTTTTATTACGTTTCGCACACTGGCCTTCCCTTCCCTTTCCCGCCGTCACTCGGGCATTTCCCCCCCTTAGCGGATTGTCTTTCTATGACATTAACACATTGTGATTTCCTGGCCTTTGAGGGGTAGAGGAGAGGGGGAGCGTGAGAAAGCTCAAGGGAGAGGAGGAGACAGTACAGGCGACGGCCCTTTGCCCAGAACCATCACTCAAGGGGCCGCCAGGCCTTCTCTGCACCCTCCCAGCCTCCCGCAGCTTAAGGCAGAAGTAACAGGAGGCGTGAGGCCCAAGAGTGTCCTCTTTGTCTCCGGGTGGGGGCTGGGTGAGGACCGAGGGGGAATTCACAATCCATCCTGCGCTCCCCGCCCCTCCACCCCACGTCCCCCCGACCCACCCCGCGCCCGCCGTGAAAATTCTATGAATTTTAATTTCATCGCAGTCAGCGTGGGGGCGTCGAGAGGTGCAGATCCCAGACCTTGTCTTTTTTTTTTCTTTTTGAGACTTGGTCAAAGAAGTTTCGTAGCCTTAGGAGAAGTTCCTACCAGACACCCAGCACACACACGCAGACCCACAGCCTCCTAGGTATCCGATTCTCCTAGGCAAGCAGCAAGCCCAGTAAAGGGGTTTAATAGGTCTGGGCGCCCCTGGGCACACACACTGCAGAGACGCACAGCCAAACCCTTCTCCCCTTAAGGCTGAAACCTACCCGGGACCCCAGGTCACAGCGCGGGGTTTGAGAGTGGGGCAAGGCTCGGCCAAACTCGCCGGCAGACAGATTTGCGGCTCAGCTCAGCAGCTGGCTGGGGGCGCTAAATGTCCCCCCTACCCTGCTTGTTGTGTGGTTCTGAATGCCCCCCACCCCTGTACCCGAGGCCCAGTGGCAAAGCTCGGCCGCATCCTCCGGCTCCTCGGGCTGGGGGTGGGGGCAGCCGGGGCGGAGATCGGGCTTAGGGCTCAGCCTCGCCCC